AATGGGATGGATGCTCAAAGATGAGGGAACAACAGACGCGATGGCAGGTTTGTAACCAGCAAGCATGGCTGTCATGATAGCAGCTTGAGTGAGAGGTTTGTAACCAGCACCCACTAAGAAGGAGCAACCAGAAGCTTTGTTGGAACCTTTGTGATATACAAAAGGCTTCCAACATTTGAGACACCCGTTGTATTTGAGCAACAGGCATTTTTCATCATCTGTGAGTTTGGGGGGGGGGTAGTCAGCTTTAGGTGTAGCAATGGCTGTAGTGGTTGGTGCAGTAGCAATAGCATTGGTCTTATGAGAAGGACCGGAAAGTGTTTGAGTATTGGCATCATGTGAAGAGGCACAGGAGCCAGCAGTGCTCTGCTCGAAGGCCTTGATAGCCCGATCACACTGGAAGTGTTTCTCATCATCAAGACTCTTCACCGCTGCCAGCCATTTACAGAAATCTTTCACCAGGTTCAGCTTCACATTTGTAACCTGCACATAAAGGACTTGGTTCATTCCAGCCTCAATTCTCTCCTGGAGTTTGTCCTCATCTAAGTGGTGTGGAGTGTTCTTGAGGAGGGCATTGATAGATTGACGGCAACTTCAAAGTCCCAGAAATTCATGGGGTCTTGGATGCGAGAGAGAGCAACTTGAGTGTCATCTTTCCAATGAGTTTGGAGGTGGGTCTCTCAGAATGTGGTCATTAACTCATCCAATGTCGTGGCCTTGAAGCGTTCATGATCAAGTTCAAGCCAGTTGACAAAGCAGACATCTTCAAAACCATCAAGTGTATGTTTGACAATCTTGTTGGCGGGTATGTCTTTGTTATTGGCATAATGTTTACAAGCACACTCCCAGTCAACACATGTCTGCAGGCTCAGATCACCTGCGCACATATATGGGGGTTTAGAATTCAACTCTTGATCAACGGTAGCGGTAGTTCCAGATTGAAACTTGGAGAATACAGAAGGCATCTTTCAAAAGTGCATACAAGATGGGGAATCCAATGTGGAAGAACCGCTGAGAGAGTGTGGATGGGTCTATATTTTGTCGATGGCACGTGGCGGTGACAACAACAGTGACGAAAGGTGGGCAGAAGGAGCAGCGGATGGAGTGACAGAAGGAGTGGAGCATGAGCGCATACTGAGAGGAACTGGGACAGAAGGCAATCGTCGAGACAGTTTGACAGAGGTGATGATCTATTAAGGACCAGTGTGTTTGAGTTCTCGCTGACACTTTTGTAGAGGTCATGGCAATGAAAAACAACTGTAACAGTGTGTATTAGTCCACTGGGAACCCGGCAGGCAGTGTTAAAGACCAGAAAATGTGTGTGCATTGAGAAGAGAAAAGAAGAAAAAGGTGTCATCATCAGCATTTCAAAAAAAGTGAAAGCTCACAATAGTTTTAGATCGTGAGAACACTAAACTTATGAGTCTTGAGAAGTGAGTTTTGAGAAGCCTTAGAGAAACAATAAGAAATGAGATGACTATACAATTGAGGAAAATAGAGCTACAGCTAGAGACATTGATGAGAGTAGGAAAGGAAAGGCAATAGCAATCAGATTGGGATGGCATGATACTAAAGTAGTAAGATGTGGCATGTCTGTAGCCATAGGCTTACAACAACATATAAAACATCACTACTCTATCAGTTTTGCATGGATTCACTTGAAATTTAAACCGTAGGCCCTTACACACATTATCTATGTGCATGTGATGTAGAATTGTGTAATTTATATCAATTTAATATTCATGTTTTTGGCTGCCAGAGGGTGATTTTCAGGATATAACAGCTCTAGCAACTGCAATATGCTACAGAATGGCTCAAAAGCTTGCATGCACCTTTCCATAGATGTATTTTAGGTGCTCAGAAGCCTTTGGAATTTTAAGATCACAAACTGGTAAATAACAGCTGCTGCACTGAGATGAATGTGTTAAAACATAGGGTTAGGGTTCACTCAGTGCAACAGCTGTTATTTACCAGTTTGTGATCTTAAAATTCCAAAGGCTTCTGAGCACCTAAAATACATCTATGGAAAGGTGCATGCAAGCTTTTGAGCCATTCTGTAGCATATTGCAGTTGCTAGAGCTGTTATATCCTGAAAATCACTCTCTGGCAGCCAAAAACATGAATCTTAAATTGATACAAATTACACAATTCTACATCACATACACCTAGATAATGTATGTAGGGGCCCACAGTTTAAATTTCAAGTGAATCCATGCAAAACTGATAGAGTAGTGATGATTTAGATGTTGTGTGAAAAGTGATTGCTGAAATTGGCATGTGCAAAGTCATGTGAAAAAGATAATATATTATGGCCCTTTGGGCAGTCCTGGCCCGTGCGTTCCGCCAGATGGTCTCACAGTTAATTTCAGGTCCAAAAATTACACTAAAATCACTTGAAACCTCTAACATCACTAGAAATCCTAAAATTAATATCTACCATTGCTTTTGGATTGATATATACCTTCAGCTGTCATCAGTCTTGTCATTATGGCCATCACAGGACAAACACCTACATTTGCAAAATTAAGTTTACCAATGTCTTGTCGTCTTCTTTGATGTCCGTAATACAACTTAGATCATTATGTGGATGCTTGACAACCAACAGGGCAGAGCAAACAGTGTAGCTATGCTGAAGGCACATGCTGTGGACACATGTTTGTTGTCATTTTTAAACTGTAATGGAGGAAAGAAGGGTGCCAAACCCATGCACTGATTCCAGAGAGGTTGACGGTGGGCCAAGTAGTGTATATAGACGAAGCAATGGATTAATTATATGATCTCGCCAAAGTTCACGAGCATGTGCGGACAATTAAGGCATGCCATATTTAGAATGTATCCTATAAAAAATACCTCCTATACACAGGAGATGGACCGGGACAGACCGGTATAATTGGAGGGGACAGAGAAACAGCAATATAGAGACCTGGTCCCCTTTCACAAGGGGCCAGGAATAAATTATAACTCCACTCCAAACATTTTTGGAGTAGGACAACAGCGGTTCAGTGCCCCCCCCCCCCCCCCCAACAACAACAACAACAATGACCTGCAAAGTGTATGGGGCCCCAAGGGTCATGCTCGACTTCATCCCAATCCTCTTTTTCATGGGATGAGGTCTCGTCCATGTTGAAGATGATCCCTGCGATGAGTGAGTGATCCTTGAAAATGTCTGCATTTTTTGGCATACAGCCAAGTAACTTTGCGAGTTGGATATCTCATTTGCAAGCATGAGGCCTGATTTGCTATCTGAGATGGTGCCGTTAGGCATCAGGCCAAAACAGGATGGGAATGTACAGTGACCAACCGTTTGATTGAGGCCAAAGAGGCAGTTAGTGTCATATGTCCAAGTGCTGCTGTACTTGGACCTAAAAAGTTCCATGCACAGTTCAAATGTCCCATGGAGTGCTTGTACTCCCTATTCATGGACCCAGGATGTCATTGTAATAGTGAGAGAATTGTGTGTCGGAATCATAGTCAATCCTAAATGTAAATGGGTAGTGTGAACGATAAGCGAAAGTAGTATATCACCTAACTTGTGAAGTCTCCAGAAATCATTCCACTTCTGGAATATTATACAAATCAATGTTGTCCATTGTCTGTCTAAGCATTTAGATGACACAAGAACGCTAGATCCACATAGGACTGACCTTAACAGTTGTCTGATCAGGCTCTGCCCTAATGACTTCTTTCAGGGCTACAGTGTAAGACAAACAAAGGCAGCACCTCTGTGGAGCCCTTCTCTTTGGGTTTGGAGCCTAGTCAAATATTTTCCAGAAGGAAAATACATATTTCTTATGTTACGTCCAATTTAATTTTTTTAGAGGAGAGGTGGCTGTGCTAAGGCTGTGCAATGTTTCAAATTTGAGAGTATTTCTGAAATTTTGACTAAAATTTAGCACTATCTGCTGGGTTAGAAACTTGTATATAGGCTAAATAAACCATTCTAGCTACTTTGCAGAGCAATATCAACCCCAGATGGTGTGGGATAAGTCATTAAGTGGCAATGTGGCTGTGCTGTTTCAAATCTCAGCAAATAAAATTATAAAAAATAAGACAGTATAGCAGACCTTAAGAGGATCATTTTGTGTTAAATTTCAGAAAATACCTTTAAAATTTGAGACCGCCATTCAACTACCACATGTAGCACCTTGAGATGTCTAAATTGAGTGTCTTACACTGTAGGATAACTGAATGTTTGTCACTTGGTCGCACTTCACAGTTAACCTCCTCCACCTCAGCCTTAGGGTTAACAATGAATACTCCTTTGGTCTTGTTGACACATATTGGGAGCATTTGTACTTAAAATATAAATTATTGTGATATGTTTTACTATACATGGTATATTCAGATCACATTTTATCCAGATGTGTACATAACATATAAATACTACTTATACGCAATCCTATACATGAAATATCATTATCAAGTATAAATTCCCATATATAGAGAGTCCTGATATACTGAAATTCCCGCTGTGAATGGTGCCTGCAATCAATAAGCCTCAGAATGCCACTACCAGCGCCTCTGTGCCAACTGTCAGGGAAATCAACCAAGTTTGGAATGTCCCAAGAAAGATTGAGACAAGTAGTGAGTATATGTGCCCCAGGTTTGTGTGGGACTTCATCTGGGGTGCAGTTGCATACTTAATTTCTTATACTTCAAGTCTTTTTTAAAAAATAAATAAACTACACATTTTTACCTCTTATCTCACAACTGTACAAATAATACAAAGGTCTGCCAGGCACACTGCCAGCAGGCTATTTATGACACCTGAGACATAATAGCATCTTTCCTGTAGAAATTATTAGATTCTCTCCTTTGGCTGGTACTCCATTTAGTATAAGTTGCCATATGGAGTACCAGCCAAAGGAGAGAATCTAATAATCTTGTGCTGAAGGATGTTATTATGTCTCAGGTGTGAGCTAATTCAGTCTTCAGGTTCTAGGGCATATGCCGTGGGCGTGAAGGGTGATTAGCTTAAAACTATGGCACACAAAAATGCAAACCCCCGGCGAGACTCGAACTCGCAACCTCCAGATTACGTGAATTTTATCATTTTTGGTAGAAGTCTGACGTCATAACCATTAGACAACGAGGGCCTTTTGATTTAGCGGAACTTTGAAAGATAATATCAAGCGCAAGAATTGTGAGAACATTCTACTTGTATCGGATAAGTACCTCTTTCCTTGTCCACGGTGCGTTTCCGTCCATCATGGCCTCCGGCCGGTGCGAGGGCGAAACGATTTGCTTAATATTGCCGCCGTTCGTATTATCCCTCGATGCCTAGCGAACCCGTCTAATATCCAGCTGGTACTTAGTACTTGTGTTTGACATTGGTGGATTTTTGTTTCTTTTTAAAAAATTAGACTTTATTTTATATGCTAGTTGAACTTCCCCCCTAGGTCGTACGAGATACGCTGGCAATTCTGACAAGACAATTGCCGAAGTTACAATGTTATCGCTGATGTAATTTACAAGAATCGTAGAATGGGATCCTAAGGCAAGCTATGATACTTGTCAAGTTCCCTAAAGAAAAACGAAATAGCAAGGCACACCGCCTCACCGAATCATTTTTGGTAAACCGCGATGCACCTTCTGCGGGGTTCCCCTTGCTTCTGTGGCACTTGGTAAAATTATATATCACGCCTCGACTTCATCCTGAGCTCCGGAAATGAAACGATACAATGAACGACAAGTTGCCGCAAATAACAGATGTCTGTTAGGTCAAAATAACAATTAACAGCCTTGGCGGAAATTAGACTCCGCGATACTGTGGGAAATAGAAGCTATTAAGGTTCATTCTGTTGTCTGCGGAGTACGAAATCGATACCCAAAGGCTGATCCAAACGTCCACGAAACACGCCCAGAAACGCTGCAGGTTGCTCAAAAAAACCCGTTTCGACCACCAACATGCACCCAAGTCCTACATCGATGACTCCGCGAGGGACTCCTTCTCGCAGAGGAAAATCTCCTCTGATGGGAAGTCATAGTCCTGCGTCAGGGACGGGTTCGACTTCACTACCCGCTGATGTTTCTATTAAACCAGCAGCCACAACTTTTACCTCTTCACTTGACATACCTGTCCAAGGAGCCATACCAATAAATCCTGACCCAATTGATGGGGTCGAACAAATCACTCCGCCCGATCAAACTTTGACTGGTGAACCAATAAGGGCGCCACGGAAATCCAAGACGGATGCCCTCGCTGCATTACAAACTCACACACAGTCATCTTCTGGAGGTGACGTTGAAATGCAATCCTTGGAGTCGGGAATCCGCTATACCGGCGGTGGCCGGCCAATTCCAGTTTCCCCCATTTTGGACCTGTCTTCGGTGAAAACGAGGGGTCCTAGAAATATGCAACCTGATGGCTCGAGAAGACCTTTTGGCCTCGAGGATTGTCCTGCCTTTTATCCTACTGTGGATGAATTTAAAGATCCTATGGCGTATGTTCGTTCAATTTCGACCATGGCCAAGAATTACGGCATATGCAAAATAGTGCCTCCTGCTGGATGGAAGATGCCTTTTGTGACTGACACAGAGGTACGTCAAAATCCACGTCTTATTCTATAGACTGTTTTCGACCGCAACTGTCGTCTTGGCCGACAGAACTTCCGCTTCAAGACTCGTCTTCAGCGCCTCAACTCCATTGAGGCGTCTTCTCGAGCTAAGCTGAACTTTCTGGAAGCACTGTATCGTTTTCATCAGCAACAAGGAAATCCCCGAGTGTCTTTACCCACGATAAATCACAAACCCTTGGATTTGTGGCTGTTGAGGAAGGAGGTCCATAAGATGGGCGGATATGACGCAGTGAGCAACATTCACCTTCACTTGCGTTGCCACAACCTCATGCTGTTTTTAACAGGTGACGAAGGGCAAGAAATGGTCTGATCTTGGGAGAACATTGGGATACGGTGGTGTTCCCGGCCTTTCAACGCAACTCAAAAATTCTTACACACGAGTGGTCCTTCCCTTTGAACAATTCTCTGAGCGCGTCAAGAATTTACAGTCTACACCGCCTCCGACACATGAGCTGAAAACTCATTCTAATATACAGTCTGCGAAGCTGCCTGTTTTCAACTCGTCTGCTCATGGAGATGACAACAACAGTCCACCGTCTAGTCCACTCACTAATACCTCGAGCCCACTTTCAGAACCTCCGGAGGAGAGCGAGGCCAAACATGCTTCCGGAAGCCGTTCGGACAGCGGCAAACCCCGTAGGAGTCCCAGGACTGGCTCCCAAGAACAGATCACCCGTACGCACTTGCTCGATCGAGGCTACTTTAATGTTTTGTTGACTTCCTTTGCTAGCTATTTCCAAGATGACTGAGAGCAATGGTTTGCTGCCATCATCTCCAATTATCGTCCCCCCTATCTTTCAAGACAAGAAGGAGAAGGATAACAAGGTCCCTTCAGAGGTAAGGACAGCATTCTCGACGTTATCCGCGACAGCTTCAGTGACAATCCGGCAACAGCAAAATTGCGAGATTTGCCACAAGAAAAATCGCGGTGAGGAAATGTTGCTCTGCGATGGCTGTGACTGTGGTAAGCTGTACCACTCTATCCATCGCAATTTTTCGTCCTCAAGTTCACATCCTCCAGGTTTCCACATGTTCTGCCTCGACCCACCTCTGACAGTCATCCCGAAGGGACAATGGTTTTGTCATACGTGCCTCTTTGGTACTGGGGATGACTTCGGCTTTGATGAAGGGGAAGAACACTGTTTGTCGAGTTTCCAGGCCCGCGATTTGGAGTTCCGGAAATTATGGTTTGAATCGCATCCTCCTGTCGACTCCGAGGTAAACTTGCTCAAGCCGAATGACCCTATGGTCAATCGCATCGGTAGTGTTGCTGTTTCTGAGTATGACCTCGAGAATGAGTTCTGGCGGCTGGTACAATCTCCACATGAAACCGTCGAAATTGAGTATGGAGCTGATGTGCACTCTACCACTCATGGCAGGTAAGCCTTGTACCGAATACGCTAAACCTCGACAGACTCATCGCCTGACCCAGTGCAATGCCCACCATGGAGACTCACCCCCTCAATCAGTACTCCAAGGATCCTTGGAATCTCAACAATATTCCCATCGTGTCTGAATCGCTTCTTCGATTCATCAAGTCTGACATATCTGGTATGACAGTGCCATGGACTTATGTTGGCATGGTTTTTTCCACTTTTTGCTGGCACAATGAGGATCACTATACGTTTAGTATCAACTTTAGTGAGTTTCAACACTGATGTCGTAGGCTTTCACCCGCTCATTCTGAGTATTACAGTGCATTGGGGCGAAACGAAGACTTGGTACGGCATTCCTGGCGACGACGCTGAGAAATTTGAGGCCGCAATCAAGAGCGAGGCACCGGACCTATTTGAGGCGCAGCCGGATCTTCTATTTCAGTTGGTCACTTTGATGAACCCGCAGAGGCTCACAGACGCCGGTGTACGAGTATACGGCTGCAACCAGAGGGCAGGCGAATTCGTCATTACATTTCCCAAAGCTTATCACGCAGGTTTCAATCATGGGGTAAGATGCGGAACTATATCATGAGCTTCTTATTTCGTGCTCACATGTCCCATAAGTTTAACTTCAACGAAGCTGTGAATTTCGCGTTGCCTGAGTGGTTGCCGTATGGACGGGACTGCGTGCAGCGATATCGGGAGCACAGAAAACTGCCTGTATTCTCGCATGACGAGTTACTCATCACAATTACACAACAATCCCAGTCAATTAAGACTGCAACTTGGTAGGGCACTGCCAGATCATCATTTACGAGTAAATCTAATGTTGTCATACCAGGCTGATTGATAGTCTGAAGGAGATGGTCGATCGGGAAATGGGCGGTCGTGCATATGCTAGATCCCTTGGCCTCGGTGAACTTTTGGAAGAAGAAGATCGGCCTGAGGATCAGTACCAATGCACAATATGCAAGATGTTCTGTTACCTTTCGCAGATAACTTGTCAGTGCAAGACCGAGGTTGTCTGTATCGACCACGCCGAATTCCTTTGCGACCATTCGGTTCCTCAGCTCATTATGCGGAAACGCTTTTCCGACGCCGACTTGCTCGAGACTCTGAACAAAGTCTCGGAACGTGCCTCCTTACCTGCCGTTTGGCGTGGCAAACTTAACAAATTGTTGATGGAAAGCGCTCGTCCTCAGTTTCGATCACTGCGTGCTCTCTTGGCTGAAGGGGAACGTATTAACTTCTTCATCCCTGAACTAGCCCCACTACGTAAATGTGTCACGCGGGGAAACGAGTGGATGGATGCCGCAAACACATTCCTAATTCGGAAGCAGAGCCGCAAACGTTCTCGCAGGTCTCGTGGCAAGCAGCCGGTGAACGACGGTGCCGACGACCGTGACCCCGGAGACAGACCCGACGGCGGGCTAGACGAGTTATATGCGCTCTTGCGCGAAGTTGAGAATCTAGGCTTTGATTGCCCTGAAATTGGGAATCTTCAGACCCTCGGTCAGCATGCAGAAGAAGCCAAGCACAAAGCTCGTCATCTGCTGGATACAGTGGATGAAGACCATGACCGGGATGCTTTCGTTCAGGAATGCGAACGGTTGCTTTTACAGGGAACATCTATTAATGTTCATTTGGATGAGATCACAGAGGTCCAGAAAATTGTCACCCGTGAGCAGTTGATCAGGGAGCTTGAGGAGTCGGAGGAAAAGAACGATACTGTGACAACTCTGGAAGACATTCGGCACCTCCTCACTCGTGCACGTGCTTGCAACTTGCCAGCCGATCATAGACTCATGAAGCTACTCGAGGATAAGCAACGAGCTGGAGACAACTGGGAAGAACGCGCCCAGAGTATTCTTGCGCAGCCTTTCAAAACTATCGACGAACTCGATGACTTCGCAAACATGGACGCGAATATCCCCATTGACCCTGCTGTTCTCGACCGGCTCTTGGCCGCTCTTGCCAAAGCCCAGGATCTCGATAAACAAGCTAAGGTTTGGTTGGTTCCCGAGCCTGGAACCTCGAGGCCTAAAGTCCAAGACGTCATGCGTCTCGTCCAGAAGGCTGAAAAAGAATATAGCATTCCCTCCATCTCGGATTTGAAACGAACGGCTGAGATCGCAGTCGATC